TTGAGACTTAATAGAAAATAATACATCCTATATTATTTTATTTCTCAAGGTAGTAAAATAGTAGCTTTTCTAGAGCTTTCAATTAATCTTGTACTACCAGATATTGTATTGACATTGATTTTTTTTCCATTGTCAAGTGAAAAAAATATTTTTTTTCTTTAAATATAGAGTGTTATAGCAATGTTTACTAGACATATATTTATATCATAGATCTTGGATCCAATAATATGAATATCCATATTTTTTTTCAATAAAATAAGATATATACAATAAGAAACTTGCAAGTTAACATAAAAGAATATTAAATATAAAATTAAAATACATAATAAGAACATATCATTTAAATATAATAAAAACATATTAAAGCATCTTCATAATGTAGTTATACTAAAATATATTAATTACTTTTAAATTCATTCTCGGATATTTTTATTACCAATCGAATGATCAATTTCTTTTTTAAGACAAGAAAATCAATAATGGATACTTCTATTGCCAATCATATAGTTAATTCCTCTTTCAGGGTGGATAAATATTTTGATGTGTTATATCAACTTGGCCATGATTAAAATCATCAAAATGTTATAGTTTTGGTTATGCTTGATAAAATTCATAATGTACAACAGGTACATGACCAATGGTCTTTCATGCCACATCAATGACAATATGTTTTTTATATTCCTTTTATTCTTTTTTTTTCTTTTCATTATTCATCCACTTTTGGTGCGTTGAAAGTATTCATCTATTTATGGTAGGTTACAAGTATACATTAACTTTTGGTTGGTAATCCATATATGATGGGTTATTCACTTCTGGTGGATCATCCATTTTTTTGGTGGGTTAAGGTGTCCGTCAACTTTTGGTGGTAAAATTATCCATCCACTTCTGGTGGCAAAATTATCTATCCCCTTCTGGTGACAAAACTATTCTAATTAGATTTTGATGGTAAAGTTATTCATCCACTTCTAGTGGTAAAATTATAATTAAAATAGTGATAGGGTAAATAATTATGGACATCATAATTATTAAATGATGTTGCATTCACTTCAAGGGATGGATGGATTCATGATTATAACCTGAATTATTAAATGATGTCACGTTCACTTTAAGGAATGGACAGATTTATAATTTTTTATTAATAGCTAGTTT